GAATTACCATATCCAGTGAATTCCGACGCTGTTAAGAGATATTTTGCTTGAAGAAGAAATAAAAGAGAAAAGAAGAAAAAAATGAGAAAAAAAAATGATGGAAAAAACGAAAAGAAAAAAAAAGAGAAAAAATGGAAAATGGAAGAAAAAGAGAAAAATGAAAAAAGAGAAATAAAAGGAGGGTTCAAGATGAAAACCCGAAAAGGGCGTCTTGGAACCAAAGGAGGTCTCAAGTTGAAAACCCGCAAAGGGCGACTTGAGTTGAATTTGAAATTCAGAGTTCGCGCATGGTGGAGGTTCTGAATCAATTTTGGAAGTGGAAAGAGCTCCTAATATGGATAGTAACAATGACAGTTGGTGATCAAGGATGAGACTAAAGATTAATGAGTCTCGATGAAAACAACCAGGAGAAAAATTGAATGCATATGAGATTCGATACTGGTTTAGGGCATCCAATGATGAGATTTGGGAGTTTAGAAGTAGCTTCATACTCTTAAGCATCATAATTTTGGAGATCCTTTTGACAGAAGCTACACTCGAGATATTCTAACGGCGTGCCAGTTCAAAAGCATTTGCATTATTGATATTTGAAGACGCCTACTCTTTTGTTCTTTTACTGTTTCCAGTTAAAAGTTTGCCATTTAGTTGCCTAAAATTCTCTGTATTTATATAAATAAAGAGATGTATTTTCTTGTTCGTTTCCCTTTTGTAAGTATCTTATTTTGAAAGGTTAAAACATATAGCTTAACTTGAAGTACATGAGATCATTTTGTATTATTGTGCAAAAGGTTTTGGAGAATGCAGGTATTCTGAAGTTGACAATGGTTTAAACATTTGAGCTTGTGTGGTTACGGGAAAATGAAATCTTGAAGTTCGTAGAAAATTTCAGCCATTAAAAGATGACCCTAAGAGATTGTTGTTTGTCGAGAAGTTGGTCAGGGATACTGGCGGATTTCAAGAAAAGAAAGAGTCAAGGTTCTGTTAAGCCGAGAGATATGAAATTGAGATTGTTAACTGGGGTGAACTGGTCAAACGTTATGTGCCCAAGATGAAGCCGAGTTCCATCGAGATCAAAGGAGATAGAGTTCCTTCGAAGAAGAAAATGCATCAAATTGCATATTTGCATACATTTAGGCATGGATAGGATCATGGCACTCATAATTGCATGATGACTTAAGCATTTGCAGGTTTCCCAATGATAGTTGAAGATTGAAGATATTGAAGCATCGAGATGAAGATATTTGGTTTGGAGATTTTGAAAAGAATGATGTTTATACGAAAACTGAGCTAAAGCAGATTCAAATATCCAATGGCTTTCAGACAAGTTTTTATGATAGAGATGAATTTTTAGAAATTTTCTCAAATTCTAAATTTTTGAATATAATATTTCTAAGCATATGTTCATGATTGATAATGTTTGATTTTCAGGTTTGACCTTCAAAATAAGCAAATTTAAGCCTTCACGAAAGAGCAGTGAAGCAATTAAATTTACAAGCCTTCATGAAAGAGTAGTGAAGCAAACTCGTTTGTTGAAGATTGAGTCCTATACTCTCTGAAGGAATAGGGAGCAGCCAAGTTCGTTGAAGATTGAGTCCTATACTCTCTGAAGGAATAGGGAGCGGACAAGTTCGTTGAAGATTGAGTCCTATACTCTCTGAAGGAATAGAGAGCAGACACGTTTATTGAAGATAGTCTTATACTCTCTGAAAGAATAGGGAGCATACCCGTTTTTTGAAGATCGAGTCTTATACTCTCTGAAGGAATAGGGAGCAGACCCGTTTTTTGAAGATTGTTCGAGTCTTATACTCCCTGAACGAATAGGGAGCAGACACGTTTACTGAAGATTATTCGAGTCTTATACTCCCTGAATGAATAGGGAGCAGACACGTTTATTGAAGATTGTTCGAGTCTTATACTCCATGAAAGAATAGGGAGCAGACCCGCCATTTGAATATTTTTTCAAGTCTCGTTTATCCTGAAATAGCAGAGGAGCGGTTTAATCTTTTGAAGTTCTCATGACCGGACAAACTCGATCATCTTTTGATCTTTGCTCTATTCTCGTTACACGACAATGAGTAAAGAGGGGCAGCTGTAGATGCTCGGTTTTGTCCGGAGGCTTCGTATCTAGTACACGATATAAATTTGGACCAGGGAAAGCCCAAATCAGCCCAAACAACATGTTATCCTAGCTTACAGTCCACGTGAGTTCCTTCAAAACATAAATGAATATCCAGCAGGAAGGTGAGAAGCAGTTTTTGATCGTGGGTGAGATACTAAACTGTAAATGGAGTGGGGTCGGTTTTTATTGAAAAAAAACCGCCAGAAATGAAAGGGAGAATAAAAGAGGGGGATTTTTGGAACAAGGGATCGGCAACCATTTCGAGGGGGGGAGATTATCAACAACAAGGGTCTCGTTTGTGTAGAAAAAAACAGAGTAAGCAAAAGGGGATTTCCACTCACTTTTCGAATGACGAATGGAAAGAATATTGTAGCATGAATTTCACCATTGTATTCAAAAACTTGAGAAAGCAATAGAGATACAAGTTGAGATTCAAGGTATTCTTTTGATTTGTTTTCGTTTTCCCGTTTTTATGTGTGTATGTGTGTTCAAAACTAATAAAGAGAAGAAACAGAAAATAGAGATGAATTAGAAATCACCTGAGTTATGCGAAAATTGGTGGAGTTTCGTTGACTCCATTTCGTTACCGTTTGGGTTCCATCGTCGAGGTGAGAATGGTGTTTTTGTTAGAATGTGGAAGGTAAGTAATCAGATTTAGGTTCAAAAAAACAGAAAATAAAATCAGTGAGCATTTTGAAATCCTTTTGTTTAGGAGTTTAAGGAAAATAGAAAAAGGTTTTAGTTTACTACCTTACACGGGGATGTTGTCGTTGATTTCTTCGGTGTAGAGAATAAGGGCTGGTATGGCAGTGTCGAAAATAGGAGTAGAGGATGGTGGTTTTGAGTTTAGGTTTACATCGATTCGATGGTTGTGTGTATTGTGAGGTTTGATTGAAGGTTGGCGGCCATGGAAGAAGAAGATTGTGTTCTCTCTGGGCATAAAGAAAAGAATTAGGAAGTTGGAGAGGGTGATGAAAACGACTGGGGTAGTATAAGCTTAGGTTAGATTTAGTTTAAAGTAAGTTTTATATTAGGTTTTAGGGCTAATCGCTTTGAGGTCCCTGCATATGCTGTTGAAGTCCATTCTGGTCCTGAAGTCGAGTCCTGGTTTCTTTGTAATTTGGTCTTTATCTTTTACGCACATTTAATTCTAGTCACTAAATCGAAATTTCCAAGTTTTAATTTGATCTTCATATTTGTCAGTTTTATTTAGTCATCAATATGTGTATTTTTCTTTCTTTTCTGTTTATTTTCGCATTTAGCATGTAATTTTGGTTAATTGACGTTTTAGTCTTTAAATCTAATCTGTTGTGTTTTAATTTGATCGTTGTATTTCATGCTTATTTAATTTTAGTCATAAATGTTGGTTATTTTGATTTAGACATTAAGGCTTCAAGTTTTTACATGTTAAGTTTTAGTCCGTGTTTAAGTTTCTTATGTGTATGCATGTATGATTAGTTAAGATTCGTTTAGGGTGTATGCTTATCCTAGGTTTGAATGTTAGTGATTTGTGTGTATATGTTACTACATGGTTCATAAGCATGGATTTAATTCCCTTTATTTAATTAATCTTTGCATGACATTATCTTTGCATTATTTACATGATATCCTCACGAGCATAACTCGACATATTACATAATTTAACTAAGGGTAATATCCTTTTAATTTAAAATTGTTGAAGTGGGCAGTCATAACTGATTTGAGGTTCGCTTTTAATGATTTTAAAATAAAAGTGTATCCCGAAAGTGAAACAAAAAAATTTATTCGTCACCTAAAATTTGGAAATGAGAGAAAAAGAAATGTTCGTTTATTTAAATATATCGAGAAAAGGTTGTTATATTTTTAAGGTATGGTCTCGATATTTGTAAATAATCGAACATCCTTTATCTTTCTAAAATGACTTGGTAATTTTAATTTAATTTGTTTGAGTGTTTTTGAATGTTTTAAATTTACATTTTTACTTTATGGGATCAAGAATCAAAATAAACTCGAATTTGTAAAGTTCATTGCAAAGACGTTAATTAGTCGACTAGGTACCGATTTAGGGCGTTGTGGGGGTGTTAATCCTTCCCCACACGTAACCGACTCCCGAACTCGGATTGTGGTAACGCAGACCTCAATTTGTTATTTTAATTAAAGTTAATTTTTATTTAAAATGACAAAGCATTTTTGGGTGTCCAATCACACCCTAATCAAAGATTGGTGGTGACTCTTTGAACTGTATTTTTTTCGATCATAAAGAAAATCCGAATTTTTCGAAATGAAAGGTTTTTTAAATCGCATTTGTTTTTAAATTAAAAATCAATTGAAAGAAATAAATTAAAAATTAATGTGATTTTTTTTAAATCTCACATTTTCACCTTTAAGAAAAATCGTTTCGACACTATAAGTCCACGGCAATCTGTGTAACATTCGAGACCTATTTTACCCAAAACAAGAAAGGGTTTCGAAACCTATTTCAGAGGTTAACTGATTCCAATTAGTAGGTTAACATACAGCTTAGACGACAACTAAATTTGTAATAGAACCAGACGAATTTAGAACATATGAATAGTCGAATAACTATTTTGTAATTTTTAATAGTTAGAGGGTTAGACTAAAAAAATGTTTGATAATAAGAATATTATTTCATAACTTTTAATAGTAAAAAAAACTCAATAAAATAACATTCTGTCGAAAGATTATTCATATACTATAACTTTTTATTTTTAAAATAAAAGTAAATTTGATTAATGAAAAAAATACGTTAATACTTATAAAAATAGAAGTGAAAATCATTACATTAATATCCAAACATGTGGTTATTACACAAATAGAAACTTAATGGCTACCACCATTTTTCTTTCCTAAAACAAGAAAAAGGCATCAAATTTAGACCACAAATTACAAAGAAAAACACTTTAAAAATGAAATCCAAGAAAAACCCGACAATTGCCCTACGCCGCCTCTTGTCTAGTGGTGTTTAAGCCTCTCTCTCTCGATCCAATCGTCAATTTTCGAAGCTTTCTCATCAGATTAAGACATTTTTTTTTAATTCAAAGAATTGTTTTTTAACCATAAAATCAAGCATCATTCCACTTTTTAAATATCATTATCTTGTCAATAAACAAATAATCTACCTTTTTCTCTCTGTTTTTTTTTCTTTTTCATCCTTAAAGAGCTTATTGAGATGAACAAAGCCTAGACTTTTTCAAGAAGACAAAGAAAAACCCAGAAATATATGTAAATTTTGAAGAAAAACGAACAAATCTCTGTGGATATTGCTATAGTTTCCTTTGTTTTTAAAGGTTTAATTATTTTGGTTTTTTAAATAGTAAAATTTTAATAAAAATAGTCAAAAAGCTCAACCTTTCGGGTCTTCCAATGGATTCCGATTTCTGGACGTCTCGTCTCGCCGCTGCAAAACGCCAATATAATGTGCAGCACCGCCATCAGACCTCTCATTTAGGTATGTTTGATTTCAATATTTTTTTCTGGTTTGTTTTTTTAAATTTTTTTGTTCTTTATTTCATCTCAATTTTTTTTGTTGAAACATTTACAAAATAAATGAATAAAGATCGTTTGAGCATCGATGATTTTGAGGTAGACGATGAAGTTCGACCCGATTTCCCATGTCCGTACTGTTACGAGGATTTCGATATTGCGTCTCTGTGTTCGCATCTCGAAGATGATCATCCCTGCGAATCAAAAGTTACGGTAAGCAAATTTGATTAATCATAAGAAAAATATTTTTTTCAGTTGAGGTTTTGTTTGAATGGTAAAGCAGGAATTTAAATTGCGGTTGTGTTTACGTTTTTGGCTGTGTTGCGTTCAATTACCTATATAAGGGATGCTATTGTGGCTAGCGCGGTTACTACGGTCATGCAAAAACGGCTTCAGACGACACCGGTGCCGCCGTATAACGAATGCTATTCTGATAGCAGACTGCTATTTAAATCCCTGGATATGAGTTTATTGTTGTTTGTATGATGTTTGATGAACTAAAACATACACTTTATAGATGGAACTTGATGCCGGCTTTGGGAAGCCGGGATGGATCGAGGGGGCCCGAAATTTTACTTTATATTTTCTATTGATAATCTAATTTTGTCGAATTTACGTCCGTGACTAGCCTTAAGTAAGCTAATCATAGGTCATTTAACCTTTGCGTAAACTTACAGCGGAGTCCGTTGGAGTTTTGAGCCATTTCTTTCGAGTTCTTTTCATAACGATTTTAGGTTTATATGCAAAGAGAAGAATTAGCAGTCGATTTGGAGGATGTCGGATCTCGAACTGGGTTGGTGATGTTATTTTCATGCCAGGAAAAGAATGCCGTATTCAACGGATAAAACATGGAAAGTGTGCATACATGGAAAGGGATGTGTTGTTGGTAGATAATGTTTAGGGTTGAGAATGAGCATAGAGTATATGCCATTGCCAAGGGTATAGAGGAATGAACATCTGGTATGCATCATGGATGATGGAGGTAGATTTCAATGGCTAATCAATTCCTAGACATCTCCCCCTTTTCGATCCATCAGAGATTACCGTCCGGTTTCATTAAAATCCCTTCGGTCTCACCCTATCTGTAGTGCAGACTCGATTCAATTGCAGGTCTATGGTTCGTCCGCTGGAATAATCTAATCTTGTGCTCTTCTTTTTGGATCTCTGTAACTTTTGTGTCTGAGATTGATGAAATTTGAAATAGTTATATGCAGGGACAAATACAACTCATTTTGTTAATACTCGAACTTTATTATACTTCACCTTCGGATTTATGATGGAGAAAAGGTCCCCATTGATGTTTTTCATGGTGAATCGTCTAATGCTGGCATCGATCTTTCTGTTACAGATTTGTCCGGTCTGCTACGTCAAAGTCGCCGGAGACATGCTAAGTCATATAACGCTGCAACACGGGAATTTATTCAAGATATCCTTCGATAACAAAACTTCTCGTTTCCTTGTTTTTCTTCTTCATCTGATTTGGAAATTATGCTCCAGCTAGTTGAACTGTATATAACCTTAGTTTCCCTTAACAAAGGATTACTTGCAGAGACGTCGCAGGCTACGTAGGCTTGCGATTCCGAGCATTCAGGCGCTGTCACTCCTCGGCAGGGATCTCCGAGAAGCGCATTTGCAAGTACTTCTAGGTGGTGGTGCGCATAGGCCAAGCAGTGTCAATGCGTCATGTGCCACCACTGATTCGTTCCTTTCATCGATCATCATGAATTTCCCTGCATCTGAAACCGAAGAAATTACGAAATCTGTCGCGACTAGTTTCGAAGATACAACGGCAAAGAATGCGGCACCGGCACACATGTGGAAATCAAGGTAATGGCCTAAATCTAAACGTTCTGTTTGCAACTTGGATACAATTCATATATCCAAGACATAACGATTCTTGTTTTTTTTCCTCTGTGTCATCTCGAACAGTTTCGATCCATCGTTAAGTAACAAAGAACGTGAAAAACGGATACAGCAGGCCACGGGGAGAGCCGGATTCGTGCAAGATCTGGTGCTGACAACTCTTTTAAAAGAGTGAGTGAAATGAGAAACTAATGTAGTAATTGAAACGTTGTGGAGAGGCATTTCTGGGTAAGGATTGAAACAAGTTGATATGGTTTGAATCAAAACCCCATGCATTAGTAATGAGCATGTTGAAGCTTCATCACAAGACTGATATTTATGGCCGTGATTATTTATTTCATTCATAACGTCATGATTCGAATATCCTAGTTTGTTGTGGAATAGTTTATGGCTTAACTAAAATTAATTACTACCAGGATAAATTACACGTTTCTAGTATCTAGCTATCATTTTTGTCTGTTTTGGTCAATCAATTATTAATTTTTTTTAAAAATCATACTCAACATTTTAGTTTTATTTTGGTTATTTGTCGTTAATAAATTAACAGAATTATTTTGGTTACACGTCGTTAAAAAATAAATAGAATTGCTAATTTGATATATTTTTAAAAATTTCAATAATGATGACATTACGTTATACTGACATGTTAAAGAACAAATATAATTATTTCTTTTCCAATTTCCTCACCTCGTCAGCTTTCCCTCACCCTCATCTCCACTGTGTTTCTTCATTCAAAAACATAGAATCCATGGATCCTAAGCCAACCTCCATCATATCTTAGTCTCGTCTATGAGATAAAATAGTTTAAAGGGACGGTTTAGAAAGCTGCATGCAACGTATATATCACTCTCAGCTCCTCCAACCATGGCTTCCCTGCTATTGTTGATGATCCATAGTTTTTCCTCCGAAACGTCGCGTATTCAAGTGAGTATAACATAGTTTCATAGTTCCTTACCAAGGTTTTAAATTGTTGTTGCCATCGCGCTCTTGGTTATATTATTTTTCTTAGGATTGCAGACATAGTGAGTACTATTATTATTGTCGTTGTGGATATCAGTCATATAATAACGATCTCGGATACTGCTACCGCTATTTAAATCTCTGGTCCTTACAATGCGTTCCAAATTGAGTTCGGCTCTTAACCACGCCAACTATATGAATTGAATCAGAAATAAAGGAGGTGGAAGCTTGACTTATCGACATGTTGTAGTATGAACGCCATGTGTTTGACAAGTGAAGCCTTTGACAGTTTTCGGTCTTTTCCTTTCCTATAACTAAGCTTGACCCAGTCCCGTAAGTTCAGGTCTAGAAAAGGGTTGAACTTTTTTGGCTTCATCTTGTTTTGCAATCTTACATTCATATCTACATGGCCCTCAGGATGAACTGGTTGTAGAGACTGATTAGGAAGTGAATTTATAAAAGTTTAAGGATGAAAACATGTTATCAATAGAAAATTACGGAGAAAATACTTAACTTATATGACCCGTCAACCCCTCGGTCTTTCCTTGACTGGTGGCGATCAGAACATGGCTTTGGGTTGGGTCACCATATCCATTACTTACTTGCAACTATCCCAAGCCTGTTATACAGCTCCCTCTCGAGCAATTGTAACGCTTAAACGGAAATTCAACGCTACTAATGGGGGAAAAAACAAGATTTCTTGGGAGCTGCATGTTGGATAGGTATGTAATTAATGTGTGTTTTATATTTAAGTTTTAATATATTTGAAACATCATATTCTCGTGAACATATCTGAATAGAATGTTAGGAGTCATTTAACTTATGGACCTATGTAGTATTTATTAAAGGTTTTCTTTTTGGAAGAACACATTCTTTTCTTATTTGCATTAATGACTGAACCAAGATTTTGAATGCAAAGATTTATTGAAATTGTCTTTAAACATTTCCTTAATTGAAGTGATTGGAATTCAATGAAACATTAAGTAATCATGCTCAAGTATTTTGTGATCAGCTGATGATCATAAAATCTTTCATGCTGAGATATGAGTTCAGTTCTTACTGAAGAAATTGATGTGATAGAGCAAACTGCAAACCATGGCTAAGTGCTGTAAATTTCGTTATTGAATTTAAGAATCCGACATTATCTGTTACATATCAGAATAGATAGTAATTTTACCATGATTGATACTACCGTAAGTTTTTTCTTCAGTATAGAAAGGGGCCTAATGTGGCTTTATAAAGTCTCACAATACCTTTCAACCTTCCTCTATACTTTTGAGAAATCTCGGTTTCGAAATCGAAAACTATTTCTGGTTTGATTTCTTTATTTAGTAATGCTGCCTTGCATTTTAGTTTATCTTGCAGACAAGATGATATTGATAAACCTCATGGCCTGCAAATGGAAATGGGCTTAGTTTGGCTTCAATAGAACATGTTTGTCAATATATACTTAGAGCCGACTATTTTTTTTTTTGTAAATTTAATCCCTAAAAATGTACAAATAAGGAAGTCGATATGAACGATGAAGCGATTCCTTCTTACCTAATATTGCTATCGTGGCGTTAAATCAATGGCGGTCATACAACGTGTCCGGCATTACGTTCTAGACGTTGACAGCTATAGGCATCTTCGGCAAGTGTTGCATACCTATGCTTCATTGGTTGCATGAAGCTCTGATTCTTGGTCTATATAGTTCAAAGTTGTGCCTAGAAATCATCTCACAGCCCACTGATCTCAGTCCTCTCTTGGAAAAAGAATTCCTTATATGTTACCATTTCTGAATTTGCTTCCAAAATCCAAAAATCACCCGAAGTTATTAGTTGTAGAATCTTATAGGTGATGGATAGAGGTCTTTTGTCAATGATTCTTATGCGAACAGAGAATCGAGACTTGCTCTGTAAGTAATCAAAAGGCTTCCTTATTGTAGCTGATGTATTCAGTTGATTTCCTAGTTTTCTTTGTCAAGACGCCTAATGTTTATCCATATTTCAGGTTCATCTTAGGATTGCGCTATTGAAATGAAGATTTCTTGATTACATGTTTTCCTGTAAGAACAAGATTTAGCATTGTTTACATGCATACTTGTCTAGATTCCTGATAAGATTTTGATACAATCTGTCTCTAGCATCTGCATGTTACAATGGACTGAAATCGACATTAACAATTATTAATTGGGATAGTTTCTTGCACTTACGCTAATATGATTTTTCTTGGTAAAAGAAGCGGGATTTGACTGTAATTAAGCTGCAGGGAGCATCTGCATGTATTGTTTTGAGCATTTTGTGTCTTGATTTCAGAACTTTACAGGTTTCATATTGATATAAACATAAACATATCATAATTTGTTTTGATACCATCATGTTGAACTGCTAATCTTGATCCTTGACAATTTTACACTTGATCATTCTGCATTTTCCAATTCCCACCTTGATTCTTCCTACTTCAAAGGCATATGGTTCCTGTTTAGTTTTAGACCATCATTTCATGCATCAATCAGCAAAATTTTCAGTTCATTTTGTTTTCTCCATTAATGAGATTTGATTGTTGGTTTTGATCCTTCAAGCAGATGACAAAAGAAGTAGAATATGGACATGGTGAAGTTCAACAAATATCTAAGAAAACCCTCATTGAAGCCTATATTCCTACTTAGATTTCAGCCATACTTTTGATCCAAACCATTCAACCATCTTTTTTACTCACAAATAGAGTCATTATTTACCAAAAAAAAGAAGGGGAAAAAAACTAGAAAAACACTGTTTATCTCCCCATGTTTAAATGCAGAAGGTTATTAGTTAGGCAAGGATCGATGCTTGGTGTTTTGTGCAGAATGAGCTCAATTGGTGAGGCACATTTAAACCAAAGGTGGCGCCAATACTCTCTCAAGCGCATTCAGTGGTCAGATGAGTATCCCAAAACCACTTTTCGGCGGCCACTTGTCAGCCGCTCCACCACCCCATTGGCAGCCTCTTTGCTTCTCTTTGCTTCTCTCACTCTCCATATGCAATTCCATGGCCTTTTTCTCTCTCCACAACAGATCCCCCTGCACCTCTTGACGCGTTTCTCATGCCTTTTTCACACCTGGACTCACCCTAATGGTAGCATCTTACATCCCCACGACCTTATTGAACCACACTTTGTTCTCACTCAAAACAGAAAGGAACACACACAAAGCAGTTCACTCTTCTCATATCATTGCCTTCACTCATCATCATCATCATCGCATTGCACCTTTGTCCTCATGGAGAACTCTTACATACCCTTTTTCACCACCACCACCGCCGCCACCGCCACCGCCACCGCCACCATCACCTCGAACATGGGTTGCTCTTCAAATTCTGACTTCACCTCAAATATGCTTTTGCCACCTTACCAGGGCCCGCAACTCCCATACAGACATCCCATGGAGCAGGCTCCTCCTATGTATCCTTGCTTTGATTTTGGGGTATGGAATGAACAAGAAAGAAGAATCATAGATCCCTGCAGAACAAAGATGGCAAGGATTAACAGAAAGCTGGCACGGCAAAGAAGCCTCAGCTTGCAAAGAAACGCTGCTTCAATGGCTTCATCGCAGGTGGATACAAGGAGAATGATCCACTCTGGTATTAGCACTCACATGAGACAAAATAATACCAATAAGGATCTTTATAACTTCATAACACCAGACAACAAGGTGCATTTTGAGAACTTGTGGAAGTTTCGATTTTTTAGATTTTCATTATCTTGACTAATGACTGAAATTGTTTTAACTTGGAAATAATGCAGAGACTGAGAGTGTTGCTAAAGAAGGAGTTGAAGAACAGTGATGTCGGCTCTCTTGGGAGAATTGTTCTTCCAAAGGTGAGGTTAATTTTACCGTTCTTCCACTTTAAAAGATGAATTTTGAAAGAAAGAGAAGAAATAAGTCTTTAAAAAAAATGAAAGAGCCAACCAATAACTATTCCTTCATTTCCTCTCATTGATTACTGCAACATTGTTGTCATCTTACACTGCGCAGTAACTAATATTACTCCTTTCTTGATTTCTCGATTCTCGCACATTAAAATAATCATAATCAAGTCTTAAGCTTTATCTATAGCATTCAAATTATGATTATCTTCCATGCTGGTTTTTATTCCATTCATCTTCTGAAAATGCCATAATCTTAAGCTTTATCTATGGTGTTTATCTGCAACTCAAACCAGAGAGAAACAGAAGCAAACCTTCCAATTCTATATGATAAAGAAGGCATCCAAGTAACATTGAAGGATGTATACACTAACAATGAGTGGACCCTCAAGTACAAGTAAGTAGAACTTACAGTTTGATTCGATAGAGATTGCCATAAGCAAAACTAGTTTTTTATTTTAAT